CGAGCTCTTCGTGAGCTTGCTCGTGACGCTGCACCTCTAACGGGCATCTTGGAGCTGAGACTACGGAAGCTGATTCCTCGACATCGCGCAGTGCTTGGGGGGATCGACTGGGGCGCGATTGTATCTGTGCTGGGGCAGTGTCCGACGTCGCGGGCGTGGGCCGCGACCCAGACTTGGGCTGACGCTTGGCTCACCTCGCATCGCATCCTCCATGCGGGCGGCCGGCGGCTCTGCGCAAATGGCTGAAAGGGCGCGCCCGACTCGCTCAAGTACTATGCCCGCTGCCCCAAGATGTTTGCTGCGGTGCGTCAGGCGCTGGGCAGATCTGCCCCTCTTCCTGTGCTACACCGCTGGTGCCTCCTGCCCGCGCCCATTGACAATGTTGCTGTAATTAATGATGGTGGCATACAGCATGTACAACGCTGCCCGCTTGATCGAGCATTGGCCAGTGAACGAGAACCAGACCTTCAGTTGCGCTCTCGCGGGAGTACGGGCGATGCGGATGGTTTCGCCGCTGCGCCTCTCGTGCATTGAACGTGTCGCTCTCGAGGTGACGGACTTCGCGAGGCCGCGTCCATGCTCATCCTCCTCCTCTTCTTCGTCGAGCTCGTCCTGCTCGCGTGCACCTTCGGCGCCGCGTGCGAGGGGTTCGTCGAGTGAGTGGACTGACCTGAGCTTCGACCCTGATGGTTGTGGTAGTGACTCCGACGGCTTCCGAGCGGGGCCGCGCATCTTGGCCACGCCTCCGCGTCGAATCAGTGCTTGCCCGTGCTTGTCACCAGAGCTGGTGCCCTCTGAAGACGGTGGCTCTGGCGTGGCCCTTTCCGACGGCGCGGCGCCGTCCACGCCTGGCGCGCTCGTCGCCACCCCTGGGCGCGTTGGCCGCATCGAGGACTTGGCGGAGCCGCGAGCTCCCGATACGCTCTCGCCCTTTTCTTCGTTGTCTTCGTTGTCGTCGCTGCGGCCTCGACTCAATCACTTATGTTTTGATCCTCGAGTGCGTCGAGTTCCGCGCTAGTGAGTTCTTGTGCATGTGATCACCCGCCTGCATCGACCCTGCGCCTGTTTGTTGCAGTTTCAGCAAGTTCATTTTGACAGCGGTGCCGAGGCCAGCCGTCGCTCCCCAGCGGCCGCTGCGCCCGTCGGTCCGACCACCAGCTCGCCATGCCATCAGTGCACTCCGCCTTCCGACACGTTTCAGTCAGCACGTCGAGCGCGACATCCGGCATTACAGGGATCGCAGGATCATCCGCCTGATTCGACGCGCAGCACGGCGGCAAAATAGCCAGGATATCACAACCAAACACGACTCGACGTTGGTTGCCGCCACCGCCCGCTCATGGATGCAGCTGTCCGGCGCGATGAAGCGCTTATATTTGACGGAGAGGGCGGGGTGGCCCCATCCTTCCTGGATGCAATGAAGAGGCGAGGAGTACAGGTGGATATTCGTGTTCCTCGTTCGCACGCTCGCTACATCGAGCGACGCAGCCCCGCGTTAAGACGCGCACGTCGCACCGCGGAAGAGCAGCTAGACTGCGAAGGTACCACGGCGAACTTCGACTCCTATGCCGGCGCGCGCCACCTTGCCCGGCAGCGGCCGCGCCCGCGCGGGCGACGTTACACCGCGCAGCGTCGTCGTCGGACGGCAGCCGGCCACGCTGCCGACGCTCGACGCAGTCGACGGGGGCGAGGCGCCCGGCGCCCGCGGCTCCGGCGCGGCACTTTCTGCCTGCGGAGAAGCGCAGCCCAGCCGGCTACAGCGGCGCATCCGAGAGATCGCTTTGCAACGCGCGATCGAGGCCACATCGATCTCACGCGCCAGCCGCGCCCTCGGGGCCCGCGCCGCCGAGTCCGGGGAGGGCCGCTTCAACGTTGGCGACCAGGTGGGGGGGGCGCGTCGGGCCGGGCCAGCGCCAGGGCCCTGGGGCGGTCATTCCTGTAGACCCTGCTCGAGGCAATGTGACGGCCAAGTGCCGCCGAGCCGAGACTGCATGCTTCTTGCAGGACGCCGGGGCTTTCATCGGCGCCATCTCCGACGACGCGGGCACAGGCATGGCGCGCGCAGGCTTGGCCCGGGAAAGCGCGGGGAATTTCCTCGAGCACATTGCGCCAGGCTCCGGGGCCAGCACCTTCGGCCATCGGGGGGGCCGAGAAGACCCGTCAGCGCCCCGACATTCCCGAATCTCTGCGCCATCTGTCCCGCAGATGCTTTCAGTTGCCAGACGTTCGCGCCGCGCGTCTGATGCGCGGCCAGAAGTCTGCGGGCAATTGGCCGGGCTGCGCCCGCAACTGGGCCATCTGGCGGCCCCCTCGGAACCTGATCAGCGTCCTGCAGATCCACGTCGCAGGCGTCAATTTCGACGCCAATCAGCTCATCGGCAATCATTGGAAGGAAGCGCACGTCATTCAGTTTATCTTGGGTGACGAGCCGCCACTGGTAGCATACTCCGGTCATGACCAAGACGGATCGCCCGATGACTGCGTCATCGACGTTCCCGAGGACGCCACCAGCACCGCCTAGGTTGGTCCACCATCAGCCCCGTCGGCCATGCCCGAGGAGACCGACATCGATTTCACTGGTCACATCCAACAGGTGACGCCGCCAGCCTGGCGCGAAGTCGAAGGGGCAGAAAACCTGACCTGCGAGCCCGAGGAGATGGATCTACGCTGCTGTCGAGCACGCCGCGGCTGGCCTCGGCCACGGGCCCCGCGAGTGGCCCCCGACGCTCGAGACGCAGCGCCGGCGTCAGAGCATCCGCGCGCAGCGCCACTTGCAAGTGCCTGCGCGGGGCCTCCTCGGACGAATGCCCCGCGCAAGAGGAGGGGGGCGGCGGGGGACGGCGCGCGGAGTTTATAGACCCAGGGGCGCGCGAAGCACACATGAGCTTCACGGGCCAGCGCTCAGCGACTGCGCCGCTAGCGCTCCCCAGACGGCCGCGCCGGACATCTGCCGCCGCCAAGACCGCGGCCGCGAAGCGCGACGCCGACCTCCTGCCCAACGAAGAAGCGCCAAGGCTGTCAAAGGAGGTCGCAGCGCCATCCTCGAAGGCGCCCGAAGCGCCATGCGTCTTGAAGTGGAAGCACCGGAAGGGATCAGACGGCAAGACTGCCCAGGTCATCCGGCGCCGCGCGGCGCTGGGGGGCTTCCGCGACGTGCGCGCTGGAGCCCTGGAGACGTTCGCTGCAGGCAGCAAAGCGATCGTCTCTGCGCCCGCCGCCCCCGGGGGCCGCGCGCCGCCCAGACCGGGCGCGCGTCGCCGCGGGCGCCGAGCCCCTGCAAGGCATGACCTACGCCGAAGTCCAGGAACAGGGCGAAGCACCCCGCGAGGCGCACGTCACCCCGCCGCCCAGCAATGCGGCCATCCTGTGGCAGGTGCTCGGCCACGAGAGCTACGAAGAGCAGGTCGAGCGCGCGCGCCCCGTTGCGCCCGGCGCGGGCTGCAAGGATGCGCCCCAGGCCTCCGCCGCGAAGCTCGCCCGGGCCACGCGCCCGCCGGAGCGCGGCGCCAGACCCGCCAGGCGGGCCCAGGGTTCGCGGCCACGCGCGAGACGTCGGGCCCCTGCGGCGCCAGCGACACGGCGCCAGTGCCCACTCTGTCCAAGCGCGTCGGCGATCTGAAGATCGCTGGGCACAAGGGGCGCTGCGATCGGCTGACCAACCACATCGAGAGCGCCTTCGGCGAAATGGGAAGTGATTCTGATGATTTCGCGAACTGCGGAGTGCGCCAGCACCGCAGTGCCGGCGCCACCGCGGCGCTCGACCGGGAGCGGGCGCTCCGACGCCGATCAGACACGTCGACCTGGCCGCTGACGAGCCAGCCGGAGGTCAGCTTTCAGACCTCTTTGTCTTCCCCCTGGGAGCAGCGGCCCCTGTGCCCTGCTTTAGCAGCGCCGCGCTGCCGCGTGCATCGTCGCCCTGCAGAGAGCCAGGAACAAGCTGCTCATCCGACGCGCGACGCAGCTCTCAGTTTTCCGGGCGAAGATCGAGGCGCGCGTCGCCTGTCCAGACATGGAGCGCGCCGGGCGATTCAGCGCCCGCAGCGACGGGTCGTTCAAGAGGGCGGAGGAGGCATGATACGACCTGGGAGGAGCCGTCGACGCGCGTCTTTCCAATATCCGCCGCGCCAGCAATCGGGCGCGCCATCTGTCGGACGCAGTGAGTCGATCGCACAACCTGTCGCGCAGATCATCATTCGGCCCCGAGCTGTTCGCAGCGCTCGGAGCAGCCGATTGACTACAGGCGCACCCCCCCGCGCCGCACCGGCAGTTCTCTGGAATTTGCCAAGGGTGTCCCTTGCCGCCTCTCCTGCTCATCATTGTTATGTCTGTTCTGATGAAGGGCGCCTGCGATATGCTCGGTGTAGACGCAGCCGTCGCCCGCAGAAAAGACAGATTATACGATATCTTATGCGCCGATGATATTCTGCTGATCGGGACCAGGGCGGAGCACGTGCAGGAATTTGCAAAAGCAGTGGAAAGAGCAGGCTCCGAGTACGGCATGACTCTTCATTGGGGCAAGTTCCAAACACTACCCGTATGCACCGATCAGATCTTGAAGCGGGACTCCGGCGAACGCATGACGCAAGTCGGCTCGATGGTGTACTTGGGAGGTCTTGTAAGCAAAGATGGCCGGGCGGATTCCGAACTGTCCAGGAGGCTCGGCGCTGCCCACCGATAATTCAGAAAGTTGAGGCAAATCTGGGCGCACGCCAACCCCTCTAGGCAGCAGAAGTTGACGTTCTTGCAAGCCTTTGTCTTGACGAAGCTCCGATACGGCTTGTGCGCGACCTGGATGGTGACGGCCCAGAGACGCAGACTACTCGGCTTCCACGCGCGCTGTCTGCGGCGCATCCTCAACGTGCCAGCAGCATTTGTCTCGCGTTAGGCCAGTCACGGAGCAGATCCTCGACCAGCAGTTGATGCTTCTCCGTCGCGTCGGACGATCGCCAGCCGGAAGCGCTCCGCGGCGCAATATTTTCGTCGGCGAGTCGGCGCGGCCCATGATCGGCACGTTCGCCCGCGGGGCTGGGCGCCCGAGGCAGGACTGGACGACGCAGGTGATGAACGAAGCCGCGAAGAGATGCCCCGACCGCAGGCGGATGGAGCAAGCCATGGCAGACCGATCCCCAGGGTCGGAGCAACGCTGGCACCACCTGGTGAGCATTCCTGTAAGACCACCCCGCCGCGCGAGGCAGCGATGGCCCAGCTCCTCCACCCCCCCCCCGCCCCCTTCCCTGCCTCCCCCTTCCCCTCCCCTTGCTGCCGACGTTCCAATGTTGTTCAGCGAATGCTGATAGTCGCCCGCCGTCGTCGGCACCATGCACGTTTCGAGTGGTGCTCGAGGGGGCTCCTGATCCCTCTCTGTTGATTTAGCCGAGCTCTGCTGCCGATGCGCCGCCCGGGCGCCTGGCTTCTCTGTCTGTCTGCCCCCCGCGCCGCGCGAGATGGCGCGCAGCCCCGCCTCTGCCGAGGATCGGATATCAGGGGGCTGAAGGAGGAAGGAGGTCACGCGATCCCTGCTGATCTCGTCATCGACGGCAAGTCCGTCTTCGGCGCCCTGCCCGTGGACCCGGCGCGGCCGCTCTCCGGGGCCGGCGCGCCAGGCCTTATGCGGCGTTTAGCGGTTAGCCGACCAGCAGTGCACCAATCAAATCGAGGACTTACTCTGGCGCGACATTCGGGACACGCGGGCCGACCCCATGACCGGGGACTGCATGGGCCGGGAGTTCATCTTCGGCGCGATGGACGGCCAGATCAGTCATGACCACGACGCGGTCAAGTTCAGCGACGAGAAGAAGGCCGCCCCGAGCTCCCCGCACAGCCCCCTCACGCAGCAGCGAAGAGGCGACTCGTGCAACAGTGTCACAAGGTGGGCCGTCGTAGCCCCGGTGCCTGCACATCTCCGCCCGCCTGGGCGCAGTTCGACTTGCCCAACGGCTTCGAGACTGGCCGCCCCGCCTTCGGGCGGGGCGTCTCCGCCGCCCCCGCTCTATCTCGAAAATTGCGCCCGCTTTTGTTACTGGGCCCCGGGTGTTTATCTTCCTTTTTTGTTATTGGGCGGGGCCCCGGAGCAAATGCAACCAAAAAGCCCCCTGCTACGGATTTCTTGGGCGGGGGGGCCCGACCCGTCGTGCATGGCGCCTGCTTTCCTTTTGACGGCAATCCCGTCTGGGACCTAGGGGGTCGCGGGCCCGTTCGGGCCTTCCCCCCCCGCCCGCCCTCGCCCCCGCCGGCTGCTGCAGTTGCCGCGTCCGCCGCGTCGCCCCCAGCATTGGTTTCCTCTCGGGGCGATCGGCGGGCGCGCGCCGCCGCCGTCGTCGTCGTCGTTTTCGCAAGGAGCGGTCGCAACCGGTTCAAATTAACGCTCCCTTGACGGGGCGCCCTCGCGAGTCGCGGCGCGACGCAGACTCGAGCGACTGGCGGGGGCCTGGCCGCCGTCGCTGGTGGGCCGGGCTTCTTGGGAAAACAAAAAGTTTGGCGTCATATTTCCCCCGCCTCCTCCCCCTCCTCTTCCCCCGCCTCCTCCTTCGGTGCCATTTTGGTTCAAGTTGCAGGGCAATCCGCGATTTGCGTGGGCAGCTCCTCTGGAGCCACCCCAGGCGTCGCGCCCGGGCGGGCACTTCAATTTCTGCCCCTTCCCTCCAGTCGCCGCGCCGCGTCTGCAGTCGAGGACGGCGTCGAGCAGATCCTTGCCCAGCTCGGCGGAGTCAAGTCTCGCCTAGCCGCAGTCGAGACATCCGTCGCCGCGCTCGACAACATCCGAGCCAGTCTCTCCTTGCGCGACAGCGCAATGAACGTGCTGACCCAGCGGCTCAACGAGCTCGAATCCAACGCGGCCGCCTCGTCCGACGCGGCTGCCCCCGCAGTTTTCCACGCCCAGATGGATACCATAATCGTTGCCATCGAAACTTTACCGCCTTCGGCGAGCTCAGGGTCAGTTGTCCTTGGCCCCCCGCTCACGCGCCGTCGGCTCGGTGGGGCCGCATCTACACCCCCCCCTGGCAGCAGCGTCAGCCACTCCGCCGAGGACGACCTCACCCGCTGAAGGTCTGGGTCGGCGGCTTCGCGCGCCCCTTGCTCAAGCAGTCGCTCGAATCGCGCGGCGCCTCCCTGGCGCAGAATTTGCCCACCCGCATCACGCCGTCGGGGACTGTTGTCAAGGGCCACAGCTTCGCCGAGAATTTCTCCATCACTGTCGCGAGCAACGTCGACGCCGCCTCGTCCATCGATCATGCCCGGGCACGTAGCGTCCTTCAAAATGACCCACCTTCTGGTGGTCAGATTCAGCTTCGCTGCAGACGAGATGCGCCTACGCCAGCTCGCCACGAGAACGCGTTCCCGGGGGGGGGGTCCGGCAGCTGGTCAACGCGCACCTCCGCCAGATAGGCAGTGAAACGACGCCGCATACAAGCTCGGGGTCAACGGGTTCTGCGGCACCTCCCCCCTCGCCACGAGCCGCGTAGCGCGCGGGCTCTTCCGCGTGAGCGAGCAGGTCATCGGCCAGTTCGATATCGCTCTGAGCGCCGAGGGGATCGCCAGTGCACACATTTCAGCGTAGCACGCTCCGAAGATGATCGCTGCCGCACGCGCGTCCTGATGCCGCGCCGCGCCGACCAGGTCTGCCGCTGCATTGGCGGCGGGAATGAGGATTTCTCATGCGTGCTCTCAGCCCTCGCAGGGGGGTGCGCAAGCCAGCAGCTCTTCCTCCTCTTCTCCTGGGTCGTCTCAATCTAGTTCTAGTCCCTCGCCTTCTGGAGCGTCTTGTCTGTCGTCTTCATTCGGGCCGTCAAGCTTGTTTCCGTTTCCTTGTTCCTGGGCCCGTTCTCCGCTTATTTGGAACCCTCATCTAAGCATCGTTTCTTGGAGTGCGCGTTCGTTTGTTGGAGGGGTCACCTCTACTCGGGGTATCGTTACAAGCAACATGCCACGCTTAGTATCCTACATCCAGAAGTATGATATGGTTTGTATCCAGGAGGCTCACGGGACTAGGTACGCCCTGCAAAGGCTGTGTTCAGAGGTGTTTGACTCTTGGGGTAGTGGGTCCCTCCTCGAAGATCGGCCTGCGGGTGGCGTGCTAATGCGTGTTCGCCCCTCTTCGCGCGAGCAGTTCCAGCACCGTCGGCGCGCCGTTTTGGTCGCTGGCAGAATTCATTATTCAACCCTCGGAGGCCACCGGGGCACGATGCAGATAATCAAACTCCACCTCGACCCGTGTCTTCCTCTTGCCGAACAGAATCGACAGTTAATGATTGTGCGACGTACATTTCTTCCTCCCTCCGCTTTCACAGGCTTTATTATCTCCGATTCCAACTCTCCCGCCTTAGGTGATGGCAGTTTTCACGCCGACGGCGCCGCGCATTACTCTTGCAATTGCGCCGCCAGCTTCTTCGAACCGATCTTCAGGGACTTGTGCGAAGTCGAACGCGCTGCTTTCACGCGCAAGGCGACGAATGAGGTGAAAAAGGGGTTCAAGCCACACGCACACACACACGCAGCATGAGTCGCATTGGCAGAATATACACCAACATGCTTAGCGCTACCATTCTGCAGTATCACCCCAAGTCCCTTACTCTGGAGCCCAGTTCAAAGGTCGGGAAGGTGTCAGATCTTGTTCCCGTCTGTCCTGCGCTGTCTCCTGGGGCCTGTTGCGGTTTTCGAGTTCTTGCCTGGGTCACCCGACATCGCCGATTTCCTGCTGCTGTTGAAGATTTACGTCGGGCCGTTGGCCCATTGTCCGAGGGCCCCTTCGACAACAACAAAACACATGAGCAAGTAAAAGACGCGCCCCGACAGGCGCGCTAAAACGCAGTGAGCTTCAGCGCCGACCAGGCCTACAAAACAGTGGCTGGGAAGCTCGCTTGGTCTCTTACTGCCCTTCGAGGGGCTCTTCGTGGGCGCGTGCGGAGGGCTGTCGAGGCCTGCCCCGTGCTGGCGCGCTTCCTTGACCCCGACTCGGCCATGCGGGTCGACGCTCGCGGCTTCCGTTCCCACCTCCGGGACGTGGGGCCCGAGCTTATCCAGGAACAGATTGGCGATGTTGAGCGCTCGTCCATTTCTGCGGTCGGGAAGCGTGAAACCAATATCAAGTTGCACAGATACCAGACCGCGCGGGGGCGGAAGCATCGCCGTGAATCTCTCTCTCTCTCTCTCTCTCTATATATATATCTCTCTCTCTCTCTCTGACGTCTCGGATCCGATTGGCAAGGCCATCGCCGATCCAGACCTTGTCGCTGCCGGGCTGGCTACTGGGGCCGAGTCCACTCGCGCGTTCAAGGCTCGGTCGAGGACCGCCGACTGCTGGCCGACGTTTTTTCAACCCTGTCCGCCTGAGGCCCACTGGAAGCTTGAACCCGAGGAGGCCACATACCTGGTTTCCACAGCGTCTGGCTCCTCCCCCGACGGTTTGCCGCGCAGCTGTTACTCCCGCGGCGGCCCAGCAGTTGCCGGGTCATTCCACTGGCTTCATTCCGAGCTGTTGTCGAAGGGGAGCGCCCCCGACAACGCCAACCATGGCATGGCCGCTTCCCTGGCGAAGGGTAGCGACCCAGATGACCCCCCGCAGTACTGGATTCGCAAGCCTTTACTCGCCCCATGACCCTTAGTAATTTGGACAACAAGATCGTCTCGCTCGCCCTTAACCGCCCTTCCTCCAGGGTCGCTGCTCAGATGGCGATCGGAAACCAACGAGGCTTTATCCCTGGCAGGTATTCGAACGAGAACACTTTCAGCCCCGAGAGTAGGGCGGTCTCTTGGTTCGCGCAATATGGTTATCAGCGCTTCGCTCATTCCGCCGGCCCTGGAGCGCCATTTGGGGCCTCTTGGGCCCGTGTTGGGGGCTTCTCGGGGGCTTCTCGGGGGCTTCTTGGGGCTCCTTGGCGGCGCATTGGGCCCCCCTCAGGCCTCTTGGGGGGCTCTTGGGGGCCCCTTCGGGTCGGGGGGCCGTCGCTGGCAGCCCCCCCCCCCCCCTCGGAGGCCGCGATCCTCGTGAGGGGTGGCGAAAAATAGCCTCCCCCCTGGGGATCGCCCGGGGATCAGCGGGGGATCGGCCAGGGTGCTTTTCGTCCGGGGCCCCCCAGGGGCCGCCCCCCGCGCGCGCGAACTAGAAATATTGTTAAGTATTTACAGGAGATCTTAGCACGTCTCTGGCCCGCTGGGCCGGCGAATTTAGCATGATATACGTGCCGCGCGCCCTAGTCTATTCCACTGCATGATCTGTTGGGTCTTAGAAATGATGGGCCCCCCGGATATATCACAGCCGCCTCTCGGGCACTATGCACCGACGTTAGCATCTACATATGGGATCCGCAATGCCTCTTTTGTCGCCTCGCGGGGTATTAAGCAGTGGTGCTCTCTTCTGGGCGCGATCTTCAGCTTGGTTATGGACCCCATAGTATGTTGCATGCGTGCCAGAATTCCCAGGCACCTGTCTTGTCTCGCCGACTTCGCAGACGACGTTGGAGCTCCTGCTGCCGATGTATTTACTGCCTTCCACGACCTTTTGCCGGCATGGAAGATCGCTGACACGGCCGTGGGCCTGCGCCTGCACTTATAGCATTGTGCTGCTCAACTCCAACAGCACGGAGCAGTGGCGCGCCCTCATTCAGGTATCGGGCGCGCCGGTTGCCGAAAGGCTGTCTTTCCAGCGCGTCGGGAAGTATCTCGGCGTCTGTCTTTGGGGCCCAGGCCGCGAGGAAAGCTGGGGCCCGCCTGCCGCCACATGCCTCCTGAAAGCCCACGACGTCATGTGCCTTGGTCTTGGGCTCTGTAAGTCTTAGGCGCGCCTCAACCTGCTGGCCTTCCCGGCGCTCGCGCACGTTGTGCAATTCTATGCCCCCGCCGAGGGTGCCTGCCAGTCCCCCCGCAAAGCCCGCAGGCGATCACGCATGCTCCTAATAGTGGCCTCTCGCAAGGCATTTCGCAGAACCCCAAAGAATGCAATAACCGGTCCAAGCGCGCGATCATCAGCGTGCTGCCAAAGCCGCCATGTACAGAACAGCCGCGATGTCACCCGTCTTCGCGGATGCGTTGAATCTATCCGAGGACGAGAGTGGCGCTGACAATATGCTTGTAACGTGGCAGTGGAATCCTGTTTGGCTTTCCTCGTCCATCTGCGCTGCCATTCAGAACTTCCGTTCTCTGTCCGCCATCCCGCCCATCCCCCCTTCGGTGCCATGAGGCTGCAGAGTGAAATTGAGTATGCCCTCCGTGCCCTCTCTTCTTTTTCTCATCGGACCACCCTTAAGGAAAAGCCTGAGAAGTTTGGTCATGTCCCCTCACCTCATCAGCTTGACTTGATGTATGTTGCATTCAACAGGTTGCGCACACATGCCCCGACGTGCGCGGCCACCTCTGTCGCCCGCACGTTCGGTAATTCCTGGTGCACCACACGTCGTTTTCGAGGGGCCACTGAAAATTGCCGATTATGTGGCCTGGCTGGCAGTGATAGTCTTCTCCATGTTCTCGTTTGTCCCTGATTCGCCCCGCTCCGTCTTCTGCTTCCGCCCCTGCTCCCGCCCTTCGCTCCCGCCCCTGTCCCCTCTCGCGCCTCGTTGTTCCCGCTGTTCCCTCGCGACCTTCTTGCTCTCACCAATGTCGTTCTCCACATCGATTTGCGTCAAGACAGTTAACCCGCGCACGTGGCCTTGGTCGCGCCCGCCTCCTGCAGCTGCGGAGGCGCGCCCCGGCCCTGGTCGTCCCGCCGTCGTCGGTCGCCCCCCGGGACTGCGTGCTCCTCGTCCGCCTCCTATTCCCCCCCTTCCTCCTCCTGTGCGTCCTGCCCCCTTCCTTCCTGCTTTGCCTTGCCTTTCGGGCCAGATCGCTTCTTTGCTTTGCGCTGCGGCGGCGGAGGGTTGCGTTCAGCGGGCGGGAGCGCCGCCGTTGACTCAGTGGAGGAGGGAGAAGAGGAGAAACAAGGGGGCGTTGAGGAGGGGGCGGGGGCGGGGAGGGAGACGGGGAAGGGGGGCAACGGCATGGGCAAAAGGAGTAGGGGGAACAACGCCACATGTAGGAAGAGAAGGGAAAGTGGCTGGCGCCGTTGCGCCGTCGGCCGCAGGCTCCGCAGGCTCTCCCGGCGCCTCCGCTTCGCCTCTCGGCCCTGGCGCGTTCCTGCGCGCGCCCGCGCCGCCGCGCCAGGCGCGGCAGCCATGGCCGCGGGGCGCGGGGGGGGCCCGTTCCGCGCCCGCGGCTGCTGCTCGCGAGGATGCCGATGCCCGTCGTCGTCGTCGTCGTCGTCGTCGTCGTCGTCGTCGTCGTCGTCGTCGTCGTCGTCGTCGTCGTCGTCGTCGTCTTCGTCGTCGTCGTCGTCGTCGTCGTCGTTGCGCTCAAGGATGCCTCTCGGCGCGCGGTGTGCGGCCTGGCGCCCGCGCTGCGCCAGCGGCCGCGCAGGCCGCGCGGGCGGCGGCTGGGCGGCCGCGGCGCGGCCGGTTGCGGCCGCGCACGGCGCGGGCAGGGCTGCGGCCTCCGGCGGTTTCCTGGCGACGCGAAGGCTTGGAGGGATATCGCGAGGAAGAGGAGGATGTGGAGGGGGAGGACGCCGAGGCCTGCGCGAAGTTCCCTGCCTCGGGGCGGGGAGGCAATCGTGTTTCTCATGGTTTTCCTTTGATGGGGAGCACGTTCACTCTGCGACACGGGATTGGTACAGACGTGGATTGTTATGACGATAGCGTTTCTTCTGTTTTTTGTTTTGCCGCACCCTCGCAATCACGTTCCCCAGCGTTGTTCGCCGACGCGTATATGTGTATGTGTGTATACAGATACACTTATATCCATTTGTGTGAGAGAACATATATATATATAGATATATATATATATATATATATATATCTGTATTAGTGCTTGTAGTTCAGCCCAGCTTGAACTGCAGGCAAGAAGGGATGAATCTCTCTCTCCGCCTTCCCCTTCCGTCTCCCCCTCCCCAGCCTGCAGGGCGGGCGGGCGTGGGGCGGAAACACACCGTTTCGAAGGCTACGCAGGTAACGCCGCCTCCGAGGCCTCCTGCTCTCCACTCCGTGCCTCGATAGATATACTATACGTCACTCAGGGTGATGGCCCGCAGGCTGTTGCTCGTGATGGCCAAGAGCGATTTCAATAGGACGGGCCTGGCGCTGCGAGAAAATGCTTCCAGATGAGACGTCCCAGGAACTGCTTGAAAGCTTATCCTGGTAACTGTTGCTGCTTGTTTTTCATTATGCCATATGTGTATATATATATATATATATATACATGTGTTGCCGTGCAGTGACAGGCTGAGCTGATCTCTTGTACGCGATGCAAGAGCTGCAACTCACACGCTATGATTCGAGGGCTTAAAAGAACGAGTGTGCTGCAGCTGGTAGACTTGGTGATTGTGCATAGTCCCAGATCGCTATAGGCCTTCACCCAACGCGTCAAGGTGCTACAATCATCCTGGGGCGCGCCATCCAGGACGTTGAATGACTTGTTTGTTCTTGCTGGAGCCTCTGATTTGCCACGCCGAGGCTCTGTGCAAGACCCCTTTAAGCAGCTTGTATTTGAACCCCCGCGGGGACAACCGCTCCCCCCCCGCTCCCCCAGGCCGTCCCGAGGAGAGTTCCGAGGCCTCCCGTCTCCCAGGCCTCCTCCACTTCAAGCCGCCTTTGAGTAGACTCTTCGGCCTCCTCCCTCCTTCTTTTTGTCTCCCTCCGATTTGCCTCCTCCCTCACTTTGTCTGCCCAGGCAGTTCCCTTCGCCTCCCTTCCTCTCTGTGCTCCGCTTGTCTGTTGAACGAGCTGTTGGCCTGCACATCATCGATCAAACGTGCTAGACCCCTTTGCGGCCTGCGGCGGCCGACCCCAGCCGTTGCGCTGGGCTTGCCCGCCCGTCTCCTGGGTGAACCAATGCGTGGCGCGATGCCGCCACGCAGCGTCATCATGCAGTCTCTGTGCTTGACCCGTCTTCTCTGCCGTTTGCTTTGGCTGTGCTCGCCGTCCCTTCGCCCCTTCCCGCTCCCTCCGCTCCCTGCGTCTCTTCGCTCTGCTCGTGCGGGCCCCGGTTCGCGCGCCGCTCTTTGTTGGCCCCGCACCTACGAGCGTTGTTTGGCGTTGCTTTCTCCCGCCCCTCTCCGCGTTCTTCTCCCAGATCTGACGTTGCAAACAATCATGTATCATCGCAGCGAGTCACCACGGGAGCCCCAGACCCAATCTTTCTGCGTCACGTCTCGAGCCAGATCGATATGTGAGGGTGCCGGGCCCAAGACACGGCGAACACGCCAGTTGTGAACAAGGTGCAACGCCAGGATCTCAGAGGTCTTTCTCTTGTTCTCATCTGCCCGCGTCTGGGGATAGTGTCCGCGTCTGCCTGCGTTGCGCGGTTCCCGGCTGCGGTCGTTCAGTTTTGCCGCGTCCTGCCGCGAACGGTACCGCCGCTTCTCCTCCCCCATTCCCCTGCCGTCGTGCTTTCTGCCAGCCGCTGGCCGAGAGCTCCTCCGTTTTATGCTGCGGCGCAGTCTCACTGTAGCTTAGCAGTATGCAGCGCGGACGGATGGGATGGGCATCGTCACGTCGGAGCAAAAACAGAAAGAGGGGAGCCCTGGAGGGCGTTGTTGCTGCCAGCTTAGAGGCCTCTTGAACAGTCTTGGGGCCGAAAAGGCGGCGCGGCGCATTGTTGCTGCGGTGATTTGCAGTGCGGTCGGATGGGGTGGTCATCGCGGCCGTGGTTTCAAATAGGTACCTCCTCCGTTCCTTCCAGAAGGAGGAGGGGACAGAGGCGGACCAAGCAGCAACAGCAAGGGGAGAGGTCACCTCGTCCAGTCCTCCCTCCCCCCTTCCCACCTTCCCCTGTCCTTCCCTCCCTCCTACTTCCCCCCTCCCCCCTTGTCCCGGGCCCAGGGCCACGGCCTGGCTCTGTGGAGATTTGGGCTTCCTTCAGAAGTGCGCTTCGAGCGCGCGAACGGCACACCTGAAGGCTTCCCACATTGCATTACATTCAGACAACGCAGGGCACCGCCAGTATATTCAGAACAGGGGACGGCGTTTAGCCCCCCACCCCTTCCCCCGTCCTCCCTCCATCCCACCCTTCCCATGCACTCCCTTCTCCTTTGGGGGGGGAGGGCGGATGCGGGAGAGGGGTGCATCGACCCTCAATCACCCAATCATCGCCGATGGGGATCCATCGCCGATCCGTTTGACCCCCCCCCCCTCCCCCACGCCCCCTCGTGTCTGCTCCTCCCGCCCGGCCTTCGCCGAGCGTCGGCCGAACGCCCCCCTTGCGCTCCGCAGGCGGCGCCGCGACGCGCCTGGCGGCGGGCAGCCGCCCCCGGCGCCGAGCGGCAGGGTCGCCGACGCGGCACGGCCGGCGCCCTCCCTGCAGCTGGGGCCCTCGGACCCGGGGGCTCACGGCGGGGGGGCGACAGGTTCGAGGTCCGACGTTCTCGGGTGTTTTCGCTGCTTCTCGGCGGGTCCCCCGCCTCGGCATGCTCTCCAACGGCTGCGCCTCGCCGAGAGCGTTCCGGGGGTGCCTGGATCGTCCCGAATGGCCGCTGGAGGCCCGAGTTGTGGCCCGAAAGCCACGGGCAGCGGAGGAGAAGTGGGAGGGGGAGAGGGTGGAGAAGGGACGGGGGAGGAGGGGGCTAAGCGGACTCTTCCCTTTTCCCATCTTGCTGTTTTCCTCGCCCCCTGGAGGGTCGAGGCCCACTCCAGCAGCTGAGCTCCAAAACGGCGGCACTGATGCCCCGATCGACCGTCTGTGGGCCACGTCCAGGCTCGGGAGCCGATTCGACAGAATGGTCACGGATCCAAGCCGTCACGGTGGAGGGAGTCGTTCGGGGCCCCTGGCGGTCGCCCGGAGCGCCATGCGTTGCGTAATGCCATGCTAAGCCATGCTATCAGCTGCACTGCTACGTTTTGCTACGCAATGGTTTGCCATGCTGCGTTATGCTCTGCGACGCTGCGCTTCGCGGTCGAAAAACGGCAATGCCATGCCGTCTTGTGCTGCGTTCTGCAATGCTACGGCATCCTGATATGCAGAGGCCTTCAAGCGGCAGCTGTGGCGGTACCATCACGAAGTTCGAGAGACGGCGGCCGCGGGCGGTGCTTACAGGGCCCTCGTGTGGATTGCCGACGGGCCCCCGCACCTGGCCGTCGTGAGGACGCTATCCTGCGCGGTCCTCCAGGCAGCGCGCCAGGGCGGCATCCAGACCGACGCAGGGCAGCTCCAGCGGTGCTTGAAACGATAGGTCCAGATTGCCATCCTGAGCAGGCGGGCGGCGATGGCGCGGGCTTCGATGCCGGGCCTGGCGCCTCGGGTGGCGCGCCTGATCGGAGAGCGCGAAGAAGCGGGGGCGGGTGCCGGAGACAGAGAGCCACCGCTGAGGAGGAGGAGGACGAGGACGAGGACGAGGACGAGGAGGAGGAGGAGGAAGAGGAGGTGGAGGAGGAGGAGGGGGGGGGAATTTAGACCTCGAGAAGGTCCGAAAGGTTTCTTTGCAGGCTTTCGTCGACCGTGGCACTAAAGATCAGTTGTCTGGGCAGCTGCGGTGGAGCCATCAGGGCCAGGAGGTCTCTCATCCCCAGCTCGATGCAGTTAGTGAGGCGTGCGCTTCTCTGCGTCGCAGAGGGGACAGTCTCCAGGCCAGCCTCCTTGTTACACACGTTGCAGGAGGCCTTGTCACCCAGTTTGTTCTGTATCAAGACCGTCGGGTTATCGACCAGAGGTGCCATTTGTGTCTTGGAGCTCGCGGGACCTCACAGCACCGCCTCTTCGTCTGTGATGGGTTGCACGAAGGCCGCAGCAAGCTCGGTTTTGATGAGGAGCTGCGGGGTTGGAGGAGTGTGGAGGATGAGGATCCATGCCTCTCCCGCTGCCTCCTCCCTGCCCCCATCAGGTTCACCCCTCGCATCCAGATCACAGGTGCCTGGAGGTGGGACGTCTGCCCACCAGGAGGCGAAGTGCAAGGCCGCGTGTGCTCCGATGGGTCTGCTCTTTTGCCAGACCTCCCCCTCTTCACAGTCGCTGCCTGGGCGGTTGTGATGCTGGACGGAGGTGGAAATGTTCTAGGCTCGGCCAGTGGTCCTCTTCCGCACGCGCTGCATTCAATATATGGCGCCGAGGTGTTCGATTCTCATGGCTCTCCGCCTCTCGGGCCCAGGCGATGTTGAGCTCCGTTGCGATTGTCAGTCCGCTGTCTTGACCTGGGACCGAGGGGCGGAAGCTGATGTCTCTAACCTGCCCTACGCGGAGTTTTGGGAAGCAATTAACTTCAGGCGGAGGGACCGTGGCGATTCGTTTCGAGTTTTCCATGTTCCCGCCCATAAGACCTGGCCCAAGGCTCTTGCCATGGGTGTGCCGTTTTGGGTTTGGAAAGGGAGCCGAGTTGCGGATCTTGCTGCCAAGAGAGCAGCCAGTGACATCCCCATTCCAGTGGCCCTCCGCGACCAGTTCGTTGAGCAAAGGCAGCGCCTGCAGGTTCTTGGCCGTTTCACAGGAGCCACGCTCGAGGTCGCTGGCAGGCCCAAGTTTCGTGATGTTTTTTAAGGTTGTGGCCAAGAAGCCCCGCCCCCCAGGGACCCAGCTCATCCTCTGCCCCGACCCCAATGGGCACGTCTTGGGGCGGCGGGGGAAAGGGTGGCTGTGTGCGATTTGTCTCGACCGAGGGCGGAGCTGGACCCACCTGGCCAGTTTCAAGTGTTCTGGCTCGCCCAGGATTTGTCGCCAGGCTCACCGCTCGCATCGGTTGTGGGGAGGTGATCCTGGTGCTGTTCTCCCGATCCGTTGGTGCTCCAGGTGCGGCAGCTATGCCAGGCGCCGAATGAATTTGTTGGCTGAAGTGTGTTTTGGGAGGCCCCGAAATGACGCTACAGGTAAGTCTCTGGAGATGCTGCGGCGGGGCGTGGACCCCACCACTCGTGCGAGTTTCGGCCGCAGCGCCCCACTTTGGATCGAGAGAGGGGCTGGCCGCCTGGCGGAGGCGACACCCCCATCCCCGTTCGAGGCTTCGTGTCATGAGGGGCCCCCGCAGGAGCCTCACGGAGGCGATGGCTCCCCTGCCAGGGCCACCACTGAAGGATGACTTCGGGTCCCTTCAGCGGTGGCCCAGGCAGGGGGGGGGCACCGCCTCGGTCAGGGTCATTTTTTTTCTCTTCCCCCCCCCTTGTCTGGCCTAGGTTCTGCGCCGCCTCGGCACCGCGGATCCTCGGCTGATGGAGAAACTGGAGAAACCGGAGGAGGGGGGGAAGGAGGAGGAGGAGGAGTTTCGTAGCCATTTGGGCTCAAGGCCTCTGGGCTGAGGAGGCAGGAGCAGCTTTGCGCCGTAGACCTTAAGCGACGCCACCGACCATTCTCAGAGTGTTCAAGGCGGCATCGGCTTTGCGGTGCCATCACGCGCTTTCTTTCTCCCAAAAACAACCCCAGTATGACATGGACGTGCCCAGAGTGTTCAGAAAAAAATACCCTGAGGGAAGCCAACATGTCAGTGCGTGTGTGTGCACAGTTTGTACGACCTATCGGTTGGCGCCGTGGCGTACGCCTCGGAAAGGATCGAGAGGCATGCGGGGCGAGAAAGGCAAAGACGGCGTGATTAATAGTATTGTGAGCAAGATGCCGCCAGCCATGCCAGTCCTGGCCGAATCGCAAGATAGTGTTCACATGTATCAGAAGCCGCCACCCCCAGAGCAGAGAAACGAAGTTAAGCAATTTCCGCGAGTAAGTCAAGGACTGCACCCTGAGAAATGCAATGTTGATGCCGCCCAGGGTGTTGGTAGACACATCGACTCTGCAAACGCCAAAGATGTGCCATCCTGAAGCACACGCAGTCGAATTTGTCGGGGAATGCAGCAACACAACATCGGACGCAAAAGAACGTTGGATAGGCAGCGGCCGGCGCTTCGAGAGCTCACACGATTCACAATTCGCGCCAAGATTGTGGGAACTTCTCAAGCAGTTTGCTCGTTTGCCCTCCCATGACTGACTTCACGATCACTGCGTCATAGCAGGCCTAGCATTTGGACACCATCAGGGGGAGCTGTCAGAGGTGGTTTCATTTCCCGTTCGCGCCCCGATTGTGGAGATGTCTCACGCGGTTTGCCCGTTTGGCCCCCAGATTTCTTTCTCTGGGGGTACCCATGATCACCGCGACACAGCACGCGTGGCATTTGGACACCCCGAATGTGGAGCCGCCAGGAGTGCGCACCCCAGGGTGCAGCCGCCAGGGGTTGAACAAGCGCCCGTTCGAACCTAGATTGTGGTGATGTCTCAATCGGTTTGCTCTTTGGGCCCTCAAGACTCGTCATCTTGGAGACCTCCATGGCCGCGGCGTCATAGCAGACATAGTATTTGGACACCCCATGGTGGAGCCGCCAGGGGTTATGACGCTCGTTCGCACACATTTTGTGGTGATGTCTCAGGCGATTTGCTCTATTGGCCGGGCCAGACACATTCCATTGAGAGCCCCATGATGACCGCGATATCGCAGGTGTCTCATGTGGGGCGCGAGCCGCCAAGGAGGGGTATAGTTGCCCGTTCGCGCACAGGCTGTGTAGATTGTGGGGAGGTCTCGAGCGGTTCGCTTGTTTGTCACAACTCGTTAGTTCGCGCCCAGATCGTCGGACATCCCACCGCAACCGCTCGTTTAGGCAACCTGGACCCTTCTCCTTGCATAGCCCCCAGACCATCCCGATGTAGGACGCAAATTGTTTGTGCATTCCAGGGTGGAGCCGCCAGGGAGCGCTCGGTCGCCACAGGCTCGGGTTCTCCCACTCAGACGCTCACAGATGGAAGTGCCAGGAACTGAGATGCACATAGTAGTGATCTCAGCGTCGAACAGTTGTCACAAGGACGCAAAGCAGTCGCACAATGGACTCAGTCTCCTCAGTGAAGCTGCAGATGTGGCATGCCGCAGGTCGTTCTTCTCGTCCTTCTCATGTCCCCTGTTCCTTGCCATCGTCCTCACGATCATCCTCTGTCATCGTTTCTGCTCTCTTTGTTTTCTAATTCCCCATGGTTCTTCCATTATCGCCCGTAGTGATCCTTCTATGAGGTTTCCGACGACGACAGCGAGGGGGGGAAGGACAAGGATGGGGAGTGAAAGAGAACAAGCAGGATGAGGGAGAGAGTAGGGATGAGACACATGAGGAGCAAGAGACCGTGGATAGGATACGGCACGAGAGCGATATGGATGTGGAGACAGATTCACGAGGGAAAGGAGGACGATCATCAGCAGAAACAGCAGGAACAGTGGAAGAGGAGGACGGTGGACGAGGCCTTGGAGGACGAAGGGGAGGAGGAGGAGGAGGAGGAGGAGGAGGAGGAGGAGGAGGAGGAGGAGGAAGAGCCCCATATGAGTCCATGCAGGTCAGCAGCGGCACGCTGGTAACAGGGACAAACGGAACGCCTCAGATGCGTTCTCGTTAAAAGGAATCAGATGACACAGCATTCGTGCCTAGTTCTGCCTTGGGTGAGGGATTTCAAGCCCCAGCTACCCTGTGATTCCCTTGCTTTCTACATCGCGGGGCCGAGGACGAGGAATCTGCGTCAAATGTCTCTCTTGAGCCTGTTCTCGCACAGCCTCTCAGGACCTGGCGGCCGCTGTGCGCGCCGCGTCACGGAGCAGAGATGTCGGCGATCTGCGCATGTGGCGGGAGCTCGGGGATTTTTGAAACTGGTACGTACCAGACACTCACGGGAGGGTGAGGGGGAGGCTGGAGAGGGGAGGGCTTTTTGATTGGAGTCACCCCGCACGCGTAAGCACGACCAGCAAACGACACTAGGCGAGTCATCGTGTGCGTTCGAGTGACCCTAAGGACGCCCATGGCCTCGCCATGGAGGACCCCCCAGACCGTCCTGCACAGCAGTGTTCTTGCACCCGGAGGATGACGGAGTTCGCACGTTCCTACCATATCCCATCCTCCGCCCGACGCGTACGTCCTCTCTTGAGTTTCTGAGACTTCCTGGGATGTTGACCGAGGGGCCTACATATATTTTGCCACCCGACCAGGGGATGCCTCTTTTTATACTGGCCCGCCAGGGGCCATGTGACGAAGCCCGGTCGGGGCCTGTGTACTTGAAGCCCTCTAGAGAGCCTTCTGGAGGTCCACTGCCCGCCGCCGTTTGGCTCTGCGGGCCCCGCAGGGCCCTTGACCAATTTACGGTCTTCCGCCCGACGGGCGGCTGATGAGAGCTCTGGTGTTGCGCGCTGGAAAATAAAAAACATCCTGATCGGTTTGCGATTTGCAACTCCGCCAGTGGTAGCGGAGCCCGCCGCTGGCGGGCAGATCCACGGGTTCGGCGGCGCCGAGCAGCAGCAGCAGCAGCAGCAGCAGCAGCAGCAGCAGCAGCAGCAGCTCCAGGGGGGGTGGACACGACTTTCGAGCTCGTCAGCGACGAGTACTACCCAGGGCTCGACGGCGTCGTGAGGTGATGCAGTATAGGATGGATCGCGATCGAGACGACCATCCTGGTGGAGGCGGTTCCGAGGGCTACAGCCTCATCGCGGTCTGGGACGGCGCGCCACAGGGTTGGAGGCGTTGTCGTGATGACGTGGAGATCTGGGCGCTGGGCACCAACCTGTACGTGAACTACTGCGTGGCGGCGCTGCTCGTGAGCCGGCTCAAGGGCGCTGCCAGGAGGGTCGGCCTCAGGATCCCGAGGGAGCGTCTCCAGCCGCTCCAGGCGTCGCCAGCCGAGTACGATGACGATGAACAGATAGTCCGCGAGGCGACGGAGGCCGACAACATGAGAGGCATCAGCAATGTGCTCGAGGCGCTGGAGGCAGCGCTAGGCGGGCAATTTTCAGCGCGGAGAGGCGAGACGATGACCGACTTCTTCCAGGGCTCCCGGTACAACCAGAGGGCTGGCGAGCGCATGGCGGATTTCGTGGCGAGGTTCGAGGAAGGCGTCCAGAGGCTCGAGGACGACGGAGTGCGGTTTGCGGACCAGGACGACATTGCGGGCTGGCGGTTCCTCGAGAAGTGCTGTCTCTCGCCCGAGCGGCGGGAGCGAGCGGTGCCGGCTCTCCCAGATGACAAGTACTCGTACAGAGACCTGAAGACGATCGTGGTCAGAATCCTCCCGGACCTACACATGACGGAGAGCAGACGGACGCCGCATCCTGCACGGTTCCAGCAGCGAGGCCAGAACCAGCGGTTCGGGCAGCGGCGGCCAGGTCCTGCTGGCTCTGGCACGTCCACGCGCGGCGCGAATGCGACTGAGCTCGAGGACCGCGCGGAGGACCCCGGGGACGAGCAGCCGCAGGACGACGACTGCGGCGACGGCCCCGAGGAGCACGAGGACGAGGTCAACGAGGTCGAGGTCTCGGAGATCCAGGGGTTCGCGCGCCAGGAGCCGGAGGCGCTCGCGACGGAGCTCGAGGATAGCCCGCTGGACCTTCCGCCCGAGGACTCTGCAGCGTTGGAGGAGGCGGCGTTCCAGGTGTCGCAGTTCACCGAGGCGCTGGAGGTCATCGGGGACGCGCGTGGACGCAGTCAGGGTTGCGTTGGAGGTGGCGGCAAGGCGAGAGGCATGGGCGGCCCTTGCCTCTCGCCGCCGGCCTGATTTGCCGCGGCCCTTAAAGGGCCGCGGCAAATCAGGTGGGCGGCGGGTTCCGGCCCGCCAAGGGCAACGAGCTCGCAGAGAAGCTGGGGCAGAGGAAGCTCAAGTCGACCTGCAAGGCGTGCGCACAGCCAGGGCACTGGGCAGGCGATCCAGAGCGCAAGGCCCCGCGCGCCACGATGGCCACGGCAGCAGGCGACGACTCTGACTCGGTCCACAACGCGCTGTCCGTCGAGCAGGTGAAGGCCGAAAAGGCCGAGGCGAAGGAGGTGTTGGGGAATGAGCTGATCAAGACGGTGAGGGACCACCCCCGAGGGGTGGTGGACACGGCGTGCGTCATATCGGTGATGGGCGATGTCTGGTGGGAGGCCTACACGGAGGTGGTGGCGGAGCTGGGTATCAGCTACCTCGTCGAGCGCGAGGAGATCGCCGGGAAGTTCAGGTTCGGTGACGGCGGCGCGCTGATGTCCTACGAGGCGTTCCGCTTCCCGGCGGCGGTCGCGGGCGTGCCTGTTACGGTGCGCTCCTGCCTGGTGAAGAGCGACGCGCTGGGCCTGCTGTTGGGGCGTGACTTCCCGGGGGCGACTGGCGCGGGCATCGACGTGGCGAGGCGCGCATTCACGGTGGGCCCTGGGTCGCGGCCGCTCCTGGAATCGGAGAATCGCCACTTCGCGCTGGAGCTCAAGCCCGAGAAGTATCGCGCCCCGTCGAAGGCCTATGCGGGCAGGGAGGAGCTTCCGCCCAAGCTCGACCACCGAGCTAGGCCATCACCACCTCCTCGGGGAGGCGCGGGCGCAGAAGGCGTTCGCCATCGCCGCGACCGCGTGCTGTTTGGAGGCCAAGGTCAGCAATGCGATCGGCGACAAGCCAGAAAGGTCAGGACAAGACGAACGGCGGCACCACTATCAAGAACGTGACCAACACCACCTGGACTGATTACGGATCACATCGCACCGGAGGACGTACCTACTTGGGGTGTCACGCGCGGCGCCTGCTCGGCCTGCTGCGCGACTGGGGCGCTCTACGTGTGCCAGGTGTGCCGCGTGGGAACGTGCCCGTCTTGCCTTCGAGGGTTGCAGTGCTCGAGGTGCTGCCGCGGCGTGAGTGGTCACAAGACGGGGGTAGGCAGCGGCGCGGAGATCGCAGTGCAGCACCAATCATGGGGGAGACTCCGCAAGGGCACCATCGCGCAGAAGAAGGCTGGGCTGCGACAGGCATGCACACTACATCGACGTGGAGTTCTGCCAGCATACGTGAAGAGGATGGCTCAGACACAGATGAACTGCTTCCAGAGGGGCACTAAGGACAAGGAAGACGACTCCAGGTACCCTGGTCGAGTATTGCCGCGAACCGAACAGCCTCATGTCGGAGCACTTGCAAGCCCAAGGAGGAGTTGCACGCCGCCTTGGATTTCCCGAGGGCGGTCCTCGAGTCCGACGTCGCGCGGCCAAGGCTGGCGATCTACTCGAGCAGGCAGCGCGGCCCCGAGCTGGGCGCGCCGACGTTCTCTGGGGCAGTCTGCCCTGCAGCCCCCGGGCGGCGCTGTTGAATTTCACGGAGAACAACGCCCAGTTGGCAGTCGACCGCGCGGAGAGCAGACACATGATCAGGCCATTAACCGCGGAGGCTCAACGCGCGCTGGAGGCTGGCGCGATCGCTGCGTTCGAGTGGCCAGTCAACTGCCGCGGCTGGAAGCAGCCCGAGGTCCAGGAGCTCAAGAGGATCTTGCCGTGCGAGCGCCTGTTCGATGGATGCGCCTACGGCCTCATGGGCGACAGGACTGGCAAGACCATCGAGAAGGTCTGGAAGGTGATCACCAACCATCAGCCGTTGCAGAAGTTCTTGAACCGCAGGTGCTCCCAGGACCAGGGGCAACTCCAAGGGCGTGAGCTCGACCAGGGGACGTCCAAGAAGACAGGGCTCGAGACCAAGAAGCTGTGCGGGGCCGCGATCAAGGGCTTCATGAGGGGCATCGCCGAGCTCAACGACGACGAGAACGGGGGCACGGAGAAGGAGCCTCAGGGCATGCTGGCTAGCCTGGAGCCTGAGCAGCGCCTTGCTCTCGCGAGGGCTGCGGCTAAGATGCGCACCAACCTGAGACATCCAGGACATCTGGCACTCGCGCGTGCCATTCGACTTGCAGGCGGCTCGAAGTATGCGATAGCAGCAGCGTTCGCACACCATTGCCCCACATGCATCAAGCTAGCGGCCCCGCCGTCGGCAGCGGCATCATCATTACGAGATCTATGGAGGGACTTCGGCGACTGCCTGGCAATCGATACCTTCGAACTGGCCGACGCCCAGGGCACCAACATGGCGTTCCTCAGCCAGATCGACATGGCCTCCAGGTACCAGGTCGCGTTCCGGCCACCTCCCGCAAGCCGACCATGATTTGGCAGGCCATGCTCGACTCCTGGCTGCTCGCGCCAGGCGTTCCGAACGTCGCGCTGGCGGACATGGGAGGCGAGTTCGAGCGCGAAGTCAAGAAGGAACTGGAGACCATGGGCCCGAGGATAGTCTCGAGCGCACCCTACAGCCCGACGCAGAACGCCATCTGCGAGAGGCATGGCCCGACCTGGAATGCGCACGCTCGCGCCCTGATCCTGGAGTTTTCCTCACCTTCAAGAAGGCAGACCAGGTCAAGTGGCTCACGGCGGCGATCAACGACGCGGTGAACTCTGCAGTGGGCCCGCCGGGGCACCTCACAGCCCCAGTGGGTCCTGGGCGGGGGTATCAAGCACCCATGACAGCCCCTCAGCCAGCACAGCAACCTCGAGTTGCACCAGCGGACGCTAGACGACGACGAGCCGAGCTTCAGGCAGCGCGTCGGACTACTCGGCGCGGCGAAGCGCTCGGTGGCCGCGCAGGAGGCCAACCGCAAGATCAGCGAGGCATTCCCCGCCAAGAGCAGAGCTGCAGCCACGGCGCCAGCGGCGGCGACATTCCAGATCGGCGACCAGGTGTACTACTGGAGAGGACTGGGCAAGGCTCGTGCCAAGAAGCGCTGGGCAGCACGCTGGCCCGGACCAGCTGTGATCATCGGGCATGAGTCGAACAACCTCCGACTGGCGCACCGCAACCTCACCATCGTGGCGTCGGCGCGGCATGTCAGAGCCGCGGAAGTGTCGGGGCTGGTCGACTGGGAGGATGTCTTCGAGCGTGCGGAGGGTGCGAGCGGGCCTGCCGCCCCAAGACCATCCTGGCGGTCACCGCCCGGGCCGAGCGGCCAGGCCCTGATGGAGGTCGACGACGAGACGCCGCAGGGCGCCGACCCACCTCCTACCGACGTCGGCCACGACCGCACCTACTTGGACAAGACAATCGATGAGCACGCTCGCGCGCCCATGGACGTGGAGCAGCATTCCTCCGCTGGGGGACCTCCGGTTGTTGAGGATGTTCCCTGCGTCCCGCCTGCCAGCAGCAGACGCCATCTAAATTTTAACTGGGCAGAGAAGTTGGCAGGAGGAGATCCTGCACCGCTTCCACAGCTCATGTTGGAAGGACCCATGTACTCCCAAGAACCCCCTGAACAAATACCTACGCTTCCTGAGCGGCCTACTGGGCCGCCAGGACATCCCGAGGAGGAGGCGCCTCCTCTACCACCTGAGAAACCCCTAGACGCCCCGCATCCCCCTCATGCTCCGGATCCTTTTCTTCCTTATCATCACGAGTATGAGTAGGCGCCGCGGGTGCAGAATCTGGAGGACCCTGTGTTTCAAGAAGGTAGCAGCGAGGATGAAGAAGTGCCGCATCAAGAGTTTGAGTATCACGACCCCGAGGAGATGGAGAAGGACGCCGGTAATGCCGACGAGTTCCGCGACGTTGAGGAGGACCTACCACGGCACGAAGGGGCCCAGGATCAAGGGGGGGCCGCATCGAGTTCGGGACCCACATCGCACGCTACGCCATTCAAGCCAGCGCGCACGGCCCCGTGACAAACATACGACCACCTCGACTGGACAGGATGCTCCCGCGACGCAAAGTCGGCCTACCTCCAGGCAGAGGGCATCGACAGGCTGCTACTCATCAGCATGCCCAAGAGGCACCCTACGGACATAGGCAATGTGTTCTACGCGCAGGGCTCAATCTACGGTTCCAAGGACGCGGGGCGCGCCTGGCATAAGCAGCTGAAGGCCTACCTCGAAAGGAAGCATATATACGACTCCAAGCTGGAGCATATATACGGGGAGCTCCAGATGGTAATACACAGCCATGTTGACGACTTGCTGGTTGCCAGGAAGGCCGCAAGCCCCATGGTCGACAAGCTACTGGGAGAGATGGCTGAGTTTCTACATCTGGAGAGACGCGTCGGGTAGTTTGAGTACTGCGGAGTGCACATCAGGCACGGCGAGGCAGGGATCTACGCTACGCAGGCCAAGGCGGTCAATGCCGTGGAGTATATCCCCATCGCCCCGGACAGGAAGAAGGTCCCAGACGGACAAGCAACCATGGAGGAGCTGAGCATGTTTCGCAGCACGAACGGGCAACTACAACGGCTGGCACATCGCTCGAGGCACGACATATGCTTTGAGCAGAACAGGCTTGCGCAGAGGACGTCGGAGCTGAAGGTTCAGGACCTCATCGATGCCAATAAGCTCGTGGACTACGTCAAGCAGAACATCGAGCACGGCCTGCACTTTCGCAGGGGCGTCGTGGACATCAGCACAGCGCGCGCCCTGGCCCACGGCGATTACTCGTTCGCGAACATGCCTGGTGAGAAGAGCCAGGCTGGAGCAGTGCTGTGCCTCACCAGGACTCCTCGAGAAGCTGTGGGCGGCCAGTTCGACAAGCAGGTGCCCTAGGTGTGGGCACGTTTCCGAGTAAAGCGAATTGTGAGACCCACGCTAGTTGCGGAGGCATACAGCATCAGCGAGGCCATGGAGCACGGCCAGTTTCTACGACAGTTTCTTCAGGAGTTACATCTGCCAGCCAGCACCAAGCTTAAGGATGTTGAGAGATTATGTGCATCAAGGCCGATCCTGGCTGCGACGGACAGCCACAATCTGAAGGCCACTGCGAACAAGGATAGTGGCTCAGTTGCGGACAAAAGACTACGCATTATTGTGTCCATGCTTCGCGAGCGCTTTGAGGCGCAATAGAATAAGACTACGCTGATTTGGACGAGGACTGAAGCAATGGTAGCTGGCGGCCTGGCTAAGAGTTTGGCGCGCATTGCGATCGGGCACCGCGCGCGGCAGATCAACCGCGAGGAGATCGTGTACCACGTGTGGCAGATCAACCGCGAGTGGATCGGGTGCCACACCAGGAGGAAAATGAAGGCTGACGGGCCCACTTGTGAGCAGGACGAGTCCAAGCCTCGGGCTACGCATTGCCACGTTGATATCACCCATGGCTACGGCAAGGGCAACGTCGACCACGCCACCTACTGAGGAAGATGACAAAAAAAATGATCAACATTATGCTGGCCATCCTGTTCGTGACGACTATGGCCGTGATATACCTCGCGAGGCAGATGAGGGAGATCAGAGCATCGATCCGACAGCCCCAGGAGATCGAGAGAACGCCGCGGCCGGTTCACGAAGACGATGATCGCACTCGAGGCTCGACTCCGACAACGGCGACAGGCACCGCCACGAGAACTAGGGCGCCCGAGAAGGTTGAAGGTGAGGAGCCCGAGCCCATGGAGATCGAGAGCGACAGTGCCATATTCGGTGAGGAACCAGTCCAAATCGCGAGGCGCAGGACGGCCAAGACGGCAAAGACGATTGACGACGAAGCTGCGCGTGACCCCAGGAGCCGCCCGGCTAGAAAGGTGGAGATCAAGACGGCACCGCAGGACTTTGACTTCGCGGGCATCAAGACGAAGCTGCTGTAGGCCAGTCTCGAGGACATTCCCGCGGCGATCATGGTGTCGGAGCGCGCGACGAGGCACTATAGCCCCGAGGGCAGGCAGATCACTAAGGACGAGGTGATCAAGATCGCCAGCGGCATTGGCTACTACGTGGACCCAGTCCATTGACGGACGATTGAGGACGCGAGGGGCGCCCTGCAGCGTGGAGAAGGCTAAGGCCACGCTTGCAGCCTCAGTGAGTTGAGTTCTTCTTTTCATATTTGAGTACGCTTCTGGTCACCGGTTCGACTTCATGAAGCTGTACCATATTTCCACGTTGCAGCGAGCGACTCAGTCGACGATCGCTGGTTTTTACCCCTTCGAGCTCCAGGTGGCATCTGGCAGGGAGGAGGAGCTTGCGGAGTGCGCGCGTTCCTGCCATCTCCCATCTTCCGCCCGACGCGCACGTCCTCTTTTGGGTTCTTGAGACTTCCTGAGATGTTGACCGAGGGGCCTGCACATATTTTGCCAGCCCACCAGGGGCTGCCTCTTTCTATACTGGCCCCCCAGGGGCCGTGTGACGAGGCCCGGCCGGGGCCTGTGTACTTGAGGACCTCTAGAGAGCCTTCTGGAGGTCCACTGCCCGCCGCCGTTTGGCTCTGCGGGCCCCGCAGGGCCCTCGACCAATTTATGGTATTCCGCCCGGCGGGCGGCTGATGAGAGCTCTGGCGCTGCGCGCTGGAGAGCGAAGAGCATCCTGATCGCTTTGTGACTCCGCCAGAGGACGGGAGTAACTCGCTGAGTGGCGAGGGGAAGTTGCAAGAGTAGCTCGACTCCAAGGAGCGCGCGCTCCGCTCTCACGCTGCCTGGGGGCCCAGGCCGCCTCTTCAACCCCCCCGCATCCCTATTCCCTTCCCGTTCCCTGTTCGGGGACAGGTGCCATCGCAACAGTTTGATGCTTCGTCGTTTGCCAGCGCGTTCGCGCTTGAAGAAATCATCATTCCTTCCCCACTCCCGCGCACAAGCGTGGACATCAGAACAATGGGCCGATCGCCCGCCCAGGCCTCGCGGTGTCCCCTTGCTGAAACAAACGATGATTTATTGCTTTGCCGGGGAAGCGTCAGGAACAAGGGCGCACGGCGCGAAACGCCAATGCAGTCTTGAACATATATATATATATATATATATATATATATATAGCTATATATAGATATATATATATATATAGATAGATCGATCGATAGATAGAGATATAGATATAGATATAGATATAGCTATATATATAGATAAGTAGACAGATACTGTTGTTCTGTGAGGCCGAAGTGCTTTAATTACGGTATCCAATATTTTGCCCACCCCGTGGGCGAAATATTGGCTCTCCTGGGTGCGTCCAATGGGCCTTCGCACTGGCCGGCGACAGCCCGGTGCGAGTCGAAGGCGGCCAGATGCGGCTCCAATAATTGTCCAAAAGGGCCCCAAGACAGCAACGCAATGCTCACAACAGCGCTCCACGGCGCAAGGACCACGCGGATCTCCCCGAACGGCCACGCGGATCTCCCAGAAGGGCCACGCGGATCCCCCAGAAGACCATTCGGGCCAGTCTGGATTAGTTTTTGCTCCTGTCAGGGCCCGCGCCTGTTTCCCGCCCTCCCCTCTGAAGACTTGATCTTGGAATGCGCATGCCCTGTTCGTTTCTGCTCAGAGCCGACGTGTGACAGCCGCCCTTCGCTATGCGAGATACATGAAGTTCGCGAAGCAGCTCGCGATGGTCTGTGATCAGGAAACTCATGACCAAATTGCGGATGTTCATGAGCT